TAAGCTGAAAAATGAAAGAGTAAGAGACATGATTTGGGAGTATCAAATCCTGGTGGGCATTGAACTCAAGAAACTAGGTAGGCCAGGTGCAGAGGCTAACACCTGTAATCCCAGCACTTTGGGAGACCAAGGCAGGCAGATTGCTTGAGTCCAGGAGTTTGAGACCAGCCTGGACAAAATGGTGAAACTTTGTCTCTACAAAAAATACAAAAATTAGCCAGACGTGATGGCATGTTCCTGCTGTCCCAGCTACTTGGAAGGTTGAGATGGGAGGATCAGCTGATCCGGGGGACATCGAAGCTACAGTGAGCTGAGATCACACCACTGCCCTCCAGCCTGGGTGACAAAAATAAAAATAAAAGATAAAGAAGGTGACATGAAGAAACTAAGAAGAATGAAGAAGATTGCCTCCGTGGATTAGATGTAGAAGACTGACTATGCTGTCATAAATTTATATTAAAATCATTAAAGAATAATTAGTACAACTTAATGCACATTGATTTGGAAAGCAAAATGATATGGAATTTTCCTGGCGAAAAACATATATAGTTCTTCCCAGTATAGACCCCTGTTTAGAAGTCTAAACAGAGTAACATCCACAGGAGTAGATAAGTTTATAAAACAAGTGCTCACAAATAAAGTTCCGGGATCAAGTAGTTTAACAGGGAGATTCTACAGTCTTTTCAAATAACACATAAACCAATGCTTCTAACTCAATTTAAGAATATTACAATGGAAGTATTACCTCCAAATAGGTTATGAAGATCAAACAGAACATTGGTACCCAAAATTTCCAAATGTTGTACAAAGTAGAATAATACGGAAAAATCTCATTTCTGCCTACACACAGATATATGTAAAATACTAGCACATTCCAATTTATTATTAAAAACAACATATAATGACAAAATGAAATTTATACCTAGAATTCTAGAGTGATTAAATATTTGGAAGTCAACTGATAAAGTTCATCATTTTTATACTGATAAATAGAACAGTCCCTTGATCATGTCTGCTTATGCAAAAATGTCTAGCAGAACTTAGCATGTGTTGCTGTTAATTTAAAACCATCTACAATAGTACTTGGATTTTTTTTCCCAAAGATAGCAAAGTCTTTTTCATACTCATGGAAAACATACTAGAGGTTATTTTTAAGCTAACGTCAACATTGTATTTGATTTTATCATTCTTTAAAGCTAGGAACAATTTTGCAAAGTGTATATGAACGAGCAAACATGTAAGAATAGCCAAAACGAAACACAGTGAAGGTTTCTGGTTCTGTAAAACATTAAAATACATTACAATCTTAATTAAAGCAGTGCGATGTTGTGGTGAAACTAGGTGAACAGACCAGGGCAGTAGAAAAATCAGAAATACACCAAAACGCATAAGATATACAACAAAATCCACAGAGCCTTTATTAACACATTGTGTTTGGCAACTGAACATGCCCATAAAAAGATTAAAATTCATTAATTCTTCACAAGCTATAGTAAGATAAGCAATAAATGAAGGAAAAATCTAAATGGTAAAAAAAAACGGGCCCAGTGCCGTGGCTCACACCTGTAATCCCAGCACTTTGGGAGGCCGAGCCGGGAGTATCACGAAGTCAAGAGATCAAGACCATCCTAACACGGTGAAACCCCTTCTCTACTAAAAATACAAAAAACTAGCTAGGCGTGGTGGCGGCGCCTGTAGTGCCAGTGTCTCTGGAATTGGTGGGTTCTTGGTCTGACTTCAAGAATGAAGCTGCAAACCTTCACGGTGAGTGTTACAGTTCTTAAAGATGGTGTGTCCAGGGTTTGTTCCTTCTGATGTTCGGACATGTCCAGAGTTTCTTCCTTCTAGTGGCTTCGTGGTCTCGCTGACTTCAGGAGTGAAGCTGCAAACCTTCACGGTGAGTGTTACAGCTCTTAAAGGTGGTGTGTCTGTTGTTGTTTGCTCTTCCCCGTCAGTTTGCGGTCTTGTTGACTTCAGGAGTCAAGCTGCAGACCTTCACCATGACTGTTACAGCTCATAAAGGCAACAGGGACCCACACTGAGTAACTGCAACCTTTACTATGAGGAGCAAAAACCCTCCACAGATTGGGAAAGGATCCCAGGGCCTTATCCCAGCTAGCTCGGGCACCCTGCTTTTATTGGCTTATTTGCCCCCACCCACATCTGCCTGATTGGTTCATTTTACAGAGTGCTGATTGGTCCATTTTACAGAGTGCGGATTGGTCCATTTTACAGAGTGCTGATTGGTCCATTTTACAGAGTGCAGATTGGTCCATTTTACAGAGTGCTGATTGGTCCATTTTACAGAGTGCGGATTGGTCCATTTTAAAGAGTGCTGATTGGTGCATTTACAATCCTTTAGCTAGACACAGAGTGCTGATTGGTGCATTTACAATCCTTTAGCTAGACACAAAAGTTCTCCAAGTCCACCGCCTCCCCCCCCCTCCCCCCTCCACCGCGACCCAGAAACCCAGCCCGCTTCACCTCTCACCAGCTCTTTGGGAGGCTGAGGCAGGAGAATGGCGTGATTCCAGGAGGCAGAGCTTACAGTGAGCTGAGATCACACCACGGCACTCCAGCCTGGGTGACAGAGGGAGACTCCATCTCAAAAAAAAAAAAAAAAAAAAAAAGAAAACATAAAAACAGAAGAAAACATTGATAAATACTTCTACAAGCTGTGAGGATAAATCAGGCTCATGACTCAAACCAAGAAATATTAATTTAAAAAATTGATAAAGATTTTTTATCTTTATCAGTTTAATATAAAACCAGAATATTGTGCGTGTTAGGAAACGCCATAAGCCAAGTAACAAGGAAAATCCCAAATGGGCATCTCTTTGCAACTTATATAACAGAAAAAGGGAAGCACACAATTTCCGTCTGCTCCAGAAAATAAGAAAGCTCTCAAAACATACCATACAAGGATAAAGGAGGCAACGTATAGAGGCCCTCACTTAAGATGGGACAATTTGGCCGGGTGTGGTGGCTCACGCCTATAATCCCAGCACTTTGGGAGGCCAAGGTGGGTGGATCACCTGAGGTCAGGAGTTCCAGACCAGCCTGGCCAACATGGTGAAACCCTGTCTCTACTAAAAATACAAATTTAGCCAGGCGTCGTGGTGGGTGCCTGTAATCCCAGCTCCTCAGGAGGATGAGGCACGAGAATCGCTTGAATCCGGGGGGCAGAGGTTGCAGTGAGCCGAAATCACACCACTGCACTCCAGCTTGGGCAACAGAGTGAGATTCAGTCTCAAAAAAAAAAAAAGAGGGGGGGATAATTTGAGCTCAAAAAAATAATAGACTGCAGTGTATGAAATCTCATTAAATGCACAAAAAATAAGGTTAGAAAAAATATCACTCACATTTTTTTTGTTTGCTGAGGCCACACCGTCATTATTATGACAACTGATAAAAGGGAGAATCAAGCTTTCACTCTTCCTTTCCTAATAGACTAGTTTTTAATGTAATGGAGAGAGTTCATGAGAAAACGCAATTCTTAATAGAAGAATGAGAACTAATACCTGTAGAGAAAATAATTAGAAAACCACTATTTGGCAACTCTCCCTGAGATAAGTGAAATTAAGAAATACTAATCAATAAATAATGAACAGTTATATGAAAGGAACAGGCAGACATTCCTGGACCCATTGAACAACCTTAAAATAAAGTGGTAAAACCAGACACGTGTATCCAAATGTGCAGTCTGAATTGAAGCATGCCAGAAGCTTAATACAGAGAGTGATTCTGAAAGATTTAGCACCCACCGAAATTAACTTCATTAATAATAATATATTGATTGTAAGGTCCTCTGAGCAGGCTGCGCCATGGTCAAGCCATTGTGACCCCTATGACCCACATGTATACACCCAGAAGGTCTCCGGAGCCAGAAAGTCTGGGACAACAGGAAAACCACAAAGGAAGAAAAACGGTTAGTTTCTGTCTTAACTGATTAGCCAACCTCGCAGCATTCTACCATTGTGACGTGCACTACCCTAACTGACCAGTCAGCCTAGTGACACTGTGACCCCTCCCTCTTGTGACTATGTACCTTGTGACATTCTTCCCCTGCCCGCAATAAACGGCCCCAACTGTAACTTTCCATTGCTGACCCCTCACCTATAAAACTAACTCCAATCCCACCACCCTCCGCTGACCCTCTTTTCGGACTCAGCCCGCTCGCACCCGAGTGAATAAACTAGCCTTGTTGCTCACACTTAACCTGTTTGGGTAGTCTCTTCAATTAGGCGCGAGCTTAATTAACATCGATCATAGATTGAAACAATATTTTTGGCTATATTTGGTTAAATAAATCATTGTAATCAATTTCACCTGTTTTTTTCTTTTCTATTGCTACTAGAACACACGTGGCTCACATTTTATTTCTATTGGGCATTGCTACGTGAGAGGAGGTTCTCTTTTCAAAATTCAGGCTGCCTCTAATCCCACTAGAAACAAGAAAAAAAAATTCAGGCTGCCTCCTCAAAAGATCAGAGGCCAGGAAGGTTGTGAAATCTGATTTTTTTTTTTTTTTTTTTTTTTTTTTGATACGGAGTCTCGCTCTGTGGCCCAGGCTGGAGTGCAGTGGCCGGATCTCAACTCACTGCAAGCTCCGCCTCCTGGGTTCACGCCGTTCTCCTGCCTCAGCCTCCCGAGTAGCTGGGACTACAGGCGCCTGCCACCACGCCCGGCTAATTTTTTGTATTTTTTAGTAGAGATGGGGTTTCACCGTGTTAGCCAGGATGGTCTCGATCTCCTGACCTTATGATCCGCCCGTCTCGGCCTCCCAAAGTGCTGGGATTACAGGCTTGAGCCACCGCGCCCGGCCGAAATCTGAAATTTTAGAATAATTGTCATCATAGTGTTTCCAATCATAAATATCACAAATACTACTCATAAATGGACATAACCTTGTGTACAAGGTTGAATGGAAAAGTCCCCCAGGGGGCGCCAGGTCTCAGCACGGGGCAGAATCCACGCCTTGGAAAAGGACTGCACGGAAAGAACTGGCCTCACTCCGCGCCTTGTCTGATGGCAGCTCCGGTCACTCAGGACTGAAGGGGCGGGGCCTAAAGCCCTGTCCAATCGGGCGCTGGGAAGGGGACTGTTCTCTCAAGCGCACGGCGAAAGGAGGGGGCAACTTCCGGGCCTTGGCGGGGCTTTTGTGTTGGGCAGCGAGACTCTGGCGAGCTCGGTGTGTCTCCGCCGCTCCTTCCCCTTATCCCTGGGAGGTCCAAGTGGTTCCGCGGCAGCCTCTGTGGCTCTGGGACCTGCAGGTCCTGGAAGGTCCTTAGGGAAGACCCGAGACACCGGAGAGTGGGAAATGGTGAGTGTCCCCGCCAGTGTCTGGAGGGGGAAGCGGGAACCGGCAGGAAGCGCTGTGGCGAACCCGGACCTCCCGGCGGTGCCGACCCGAGTTTCCGCTGTCGCCTCGCGGCCTTAGTGGCACAGGATGGGGGGCTGGACCCGCAGCCGGACCCCGGGCCGCCTGGCTTGTCCCTGCCCCGCCGCCTCGGCCAGGCCCGGAACCTCTCTGGACAGCTCTGCGCCTGCAGACCCGCGTCCCCCTCGGAGCGTGCGGAGCCGACGGGAGGGTCCGCAGGGGAGAGTCCCCACTTGGGGTTCGGGGTTCCTGCGTGGGAGGAGCTGTGATCGGTGAAGTCTCCAAAACCTCCTTTCTCCTGTTAGAAATAAAACTGAAGCGCTGTTAAAATATTAAAAGGTTTATTTGAGCAGAGAGTCGTGAGTTAGGAAGCCGCCCAGCGTGGTTTGTGGTTTGGGGAAGGAAGAGCTCTAATAAGGAACCCAGAAGCAAACCCAATTAAATGATTGATTGTGTACAGTTGTGTAGTCACCCCACATAGACTGTGCAGCCAGATACCTCCTGGTTATGTCATCAGAGGTTAATTGGTGGGTTCGTGGTGGTTTAAGGCTGTTTTGTTTGCCTTTAAGTTATTAATTTACAAGACAAGCATGAGTTACATTTTGGTTGGTTGGTTACTCATTCATGTGTGTATGTACATATATATGATGGAGTCTCGGACTCGGGCTGAAGCGATCCTCCCACCTCAGTCTCCCTAGTACCTGTGTTTAATTATTTTAACATAACACTCCACATTTCTAAGTGTATGGCAAACAGGATCTCACATCAACGACCGTGTTCCCACAGCCCAACTCTTCTGGGGCTTGTAGTAAAATCCTAAATTTCCAATTCTTTTCCTACATTCAAATGCAACATTATCAAGTATTTGTCTTTTATTGTACATTTCATACAGATGCAGTTTTTTTTTTTTAGAGTAGTGAGTCGTTTTGAAAATATTTGTTTTCACTCTTAAAATATTTCTGAACGTTACACCTGAGTAGAAAGCAGATGATAATCACCTGACAATTGTTTAAAAAAAAAAAAAGTCTTTGTGTATCTCCTAGTTTTATCTTTTTTGAGTGTGCACATCTTACCAGAATATCTTTGGGGTGAAGTTCCCCTTTGGAAACGTTAGAGGGTGATATGTCCTCAGCCACCCTCATATCTTTTCTTAGAGGTCCTCTGTTTAGCGGCCAGATCTCTTGGAGTATCTAATGAATACCTTCTCCTGGGTCATCTCCTCCCAGAGGACAGTTTAAAATATGGGAGTAGAGCCTCTCTAGGCAGCATCTGGGTGCCCTGGAGCTGAGAGACGTCTCCTAGTATACTCTTCGTTTAAAACACAAGTCCCTGGTGCATTAGGATTTTCTTCCTCCAACCCCAGTTTTCATCGTTCCTTGGAGATATGTTGATAGGCAGCCAATCAGACGCTGGTATTAAGGGAAAAAGCTAGAAATGATTCCTGCCCTCTGGATTTTCTCGGACTTGGAAAAGGAGAAAAACTATCTCAAAGGACAAGGAATACCCGCCTCCCCCAGTGAGGTGGTGCAAGAACCAGAAAAGCACCATCATCAGAATTATGTAAGAAAGGAGTTGGCTGGACGTGACCCAAGCCTGTAATCCCAGCATTTTGGGAGGCCAAGGGGGGTGGATCACTTGAGATCAGGAGTTGGAGACCAGCCTTGCCAGTGTGGCGAAACACTGTCTCTACCAAAAATACAAAAATTAGCCCAGTCTGGTGGTGCATGCCTGTCATCCCAGCTACCTGGGATGCTGAGGCAGGAGAATCGCTTGAGGCCAGGAGGTGGAGGTTGCAATGAGCTGAGATGGTGCCACTGCACTCCAGCCTTTGAGACAGAGCGAGACTCAGTCTCAAAAAGAAAAAAAGAGAGTTTATTCTAAAGTATTGCAATGGGGGAAAAACACCAGGTATAAGAGCTGCAAGCATGTTAAAGTTTAGGCAGAAAAGGGCTTAGAAATTCAGGCACACAGGCCAGGTGCGGTGGCTCACGCTTGTAATGCCAACACTTTGGGAGGCCGAGGTGGGCAGACCAGGAGATCGAGACCATCCTGGCTAACATGGAGAAACCCTGTCTCTACTAAAAATACAAAAAATTAGCCAGGCATGGTGGCGGGTGCTTGTAGTCCCAGCTACTCTGGCAGGAGAATGGTGTGAACCCAGGAGGTGGAGCTTGCAGTGAGCTGAGATCGCGCCACTGCACTCCAGCCTGAGCGACGGAGCAAGACTCCGTCTCAAACAAAACAAAAAAAATTCAGGCACACTATGGGTCACAGTACAGTGTCTCCTGGGAGGATGATCATTGAGTATTTCTGTGAGGAGAATGGGCCTGTGAGGATATCCAAAGTGATAAAGTGTCCCGACTTGACACTTGACCCGGAGATGTCTACGTTCTGTCAGCCTGACCCCCCCCCCCCCGAGTTTATTGCCTTGAAAAGATTTATTCACTTAGTTCAGTTTCAGTTTTTCGTTAACCTTAAAATGTTTTATTCATAGAGCTTGAAAGATTTAAAAAAAAGTATTTCCAAAGAGACAAGAAAGAGGTGGATTTCAGGGGGGGGGAAATCTATTCATATTCCATTTGTTAAAAATTCTTGTTGCCGGGCACGGTGGCTCAAGCCTGTAATCCCAGCACTTTGGGAGGCCGAGACGGGCGGATCACGAGGTCAGGAGATCGAGACCATCCTGGCTAACAGGGTGAAACCCCGTCTCTACTAAAAAATACAAAAAACTAGCCGGGCGAGGCTGCGGGCGCCTGTAGTCCCAGCTACTCAGGAGGCTGAGGCAGGAGAATGATGTGAACCCAGGAGGTGGAGCTTGCAGTGAGCTGAGATCGCGCCACTGCACTCCAGCCTGGGCGACAGAGCAAGACTCCATCTCAAAAAAAAAAAAAAAAAAAAAAAAAAAAAAAAAAAAAAAAAAAAAAAATTCTTGTTAACCTTTTTCTTCCCAAGAGTGAGTGTAGTAAGTTTCTCAAGTCTGTTCTTTTTTGAGGGAGATTTGAAAGGGAATTCTAGGGCTTTGCTTTGGGAATGTGTATTCGTTTGTTTTCATGCTGCTGGTAAAGACATACCTGAGACTGGGCAATTTATAAGAGAAAGAGATTTAAAGGACTTATTGTTCCACATGGCTGGGGAAGCCTGACAATCATGCGGAAGGCGAGGAGGAGCAAGTCACATATTACATGTGGATGACGACAGGCAGAGAGAGAGCGAGCTTGTGCAGGGAAACTCCAGTTTTTAAAACCATCAGATCTCATGAAACTTATTCGCTATCACAAGAACAGCATGGGAAAGACCTGCCCCCATGATTCAGTTACCTCCCACTAGGTTCCTCCCACATGTGGGAATGGTGGGAGTTACAATTCAAGATGAGATTTGAGTGGGACACAGCCAAACTATACCAAAATGTTACCAGGGAAAAACATGAAAAATCTCTTTTTCATTATGGCTGCAGAAAAATGATTACATTTTCACAAGCAAGCGTTGTAGATAAATTGGTTAATTACAGATACTTATCAAAACATCAGTACCTCCCTCCTTTTTGCAGGGTGGAGAATTTATAACAGTGGAGAACCCTGTTCTGTATCTTGTTATCTGGAAGTTGGAGTTTAATGCTAAGTTTTATGGGATAGGAGTTGGCAGCTCCTGGAGGTGATTTGTTGTCATGGAAATAAATAAATGACATATTGTATGATAGGGATAGATACTTTGGCTTTTCCAGTTGAGGTATTAAATGTAAGTGCCTCACAATTTCCTCCCCTCCTATAAACATGAACACTGAGTTTGAGTTATTTTTCTGGATTCTTCAAATATTATTTTTTAAAAAATTAAACCAACCAAATAACCTTGACTGAGAAACAGAAGCTTGAGCTCAGTGACTGCCAGCGAAGGCCAATCTGAAGCCTGCAAAAAGATCATGGAAGGCCTACTCAGTTCTTCCTTGGGAGCCTGCCTTTACAGATGTCCCAGCCTGCTCACCCCAGCCATGAAAGGAGCTCTCTTTATATTGAGAGAAGCTACAGAGTTCTGGAAATCTGGTGTTCACGAGTGGATGTGGTTGGGCCTGGATGGGAAGGATGGGATCCCCTTTTTAAGGGTGTAATGTTCATTGTCCTGGCATTCTTTCTAGACATCATTCAATAAAGCAGGGGTCCCCAACCCCTGGGCCATGGACCAGTACCAGTAGGTGACCTGTTAGGATCCAGGCCATGCAGCAGGAGGTGAGCAGCAGGTGAGCGAACATTACCACCTGAGCAGCTTCTCCTGTCAGATCAGTGGTGGCATTAGAGTCTCAGAGGAGCATGAACCCTATTGTGAGCTGTGCCTGGGAGGGATCTGGGTTGTGTGCTGCTTACAAGAATCTAATGTCTGATGATCTGAGGTAGAACAGTGTGGTCCTGAAACTATCCCCACCATCTATGGAAAAACTGTCTTCTATGAAACTGGTCCCTGATGCCAGAAAGGTGGGGAACTGCTGCAATAAAGTAAATTCAGAGTTATATGAGAAGGGAGTTTATTCTGAAGTATCGCAATGAGGAAAAACCACGTATAACAGCGGCAAGCATGTTAAAGGTTAGGCAAAAAAGGGCTTGCTTTCTTAGGAAGAGGCAAACTAGATTAGAAGAAAAGGGGAGAAGAAGAGGGCCAGATGGATTCTAGATCAGAGAACATTTCACCCTGAGGTCAGCCTGTCAGCCTGTTCACAGGAGAGGAATAAAGCAGGGTTGTATGTTGACTCAGGCTGAGGGTGTATCAGAGTTCAGGGGCCTGAGGGAAGGAGGGAAACTTAAGTAAAATTTGGTTAACAAGTATTTTGTTCTGACCACTGAAGACAAATTTAGTCAGCTAATTAAGAGGCAAAAAAAAAAAAAAAAAAAAAAAGTCTGTTTCTGGCTTTATTATCCGTAAAGGAAGCATCATCTAAGTCATAATGAGAAGGTGTTTGTTTTCACTAAGCTGTTCCCCGAAGAACACAAAGAATGTTTTTGTTGTTGTTTGTTTTTTAAGTTGCAGATATTTAACAGGATTACCTACTCACCCCATCTTCACCGGCTACATTCCCTTGTCCTCTACAGCTCTTCCATTGAGTTGTTCCTGAGTCACATCTTTTATAATAAACTGGTAAACATCAGTAACTTGTTTTTGCCGAGTTCCGAGCATAGTTTTTTTTCACATTATCAAACTTGAGGAAGGGGTGATGGGAACCTCTGACTTACAAGCAATTACTCAGAAGGATAGATGGGCCCCTGAGGCTTGCAGCTGGCATATGCAATGTGCGCAGTGTTGTGGCACTGATCTGTGAGCTTGTGGGGTACGCGTTGACTCTGAGTGGTGTCAGAATTTAATTGCTGGACACTTAGTAGGTGTTGGAGAATTGGTTGGTGTTCAGCAAAGTCCACACATTTGGTATCAGAAAAAGGACTCACAGATCAGAGCCTTCACCCGACTCTGGGAGAGTGTTTGGTCACTGGTGAGAATTGAGACCTGGAGAAGAGAGCATTTCCTCACCTGCAGGGATAAATGGGTGTGTGGAGCGCCCAGAATTAAATTCCAATCACTCAGGCTTCCTTCACTCATTCCCTAGGAATGAACCACCTTGGGCTGTATCTCCACCTTGAGAGTGGTCCCCAAGCTTGGAACGTATTTAACCTACTGAGTATGGGATTCCTCTTTATAAAATCTTGCTGGGACATAATTCCAGTTTGGGCAAGTATTTAAGAATTTTATTCCATGATTTGAATGTGAGATTTTGATTCTCTTGATTGAAAACGAGTGAACTGAGTGATATGACCTGAAAAAATCATAGATCATTCTTGGAATAAATTGTTTTATGCTAAGTTTAAATGATAAGACTATAAGGTCTTGGGCTCCCTCTCCGGGTGAATAAACAGACCTTGTACAGTTCTGGTGTTCTGATCTTTTCTAACTTCTGCTCAGAGATGTGACCACGGGTCTGATTATTTTTTCTTATTCTTTGTGGATTAACTGTCTATTTATCATGAATCAGAATTTTGCTCTTTTTTTATGGCTGCATAGTTTTACCTCTTGAGTTTTTAGTAGCTTAATGTTACTATTAATATACCATAAATATTGTGCTGAAAAGATATTTTTGTGTGATTTCTTTATATATAGTATATATTTATATAATTATAAATATATTATATGTTATATAACATATAACATATACTATATGTTTTATATATATATATATATATTTGAGATGGAGTTTTGTTCTTGTTGTCCAGGCTGGAGTGTAATGGCACAATCTTGGCTCACCACCACCTCCGACTCCCAGGTTCAAGCAATTCTCATGCCTCAGCCTCCTGACTAGCTGGGATTACAGGCATGCACTGCCACACCAGGCTAATTTTTTTGTATTTTTAGTAGAGACAGGGTTTCACCATGTTGGCCAGACTGGTCTCAAATTCCTGACCTCAGGTGATCCTCCTGCCTCGGCCTCCCAAAGTGCTGGGATTACAGGCATGAGCCACCGAGCCCAGCTTATGGTTTCTTTTTTTAAGTATATATTAATTTTTATTTGAAATAATAAGGTTAGGCACAGTGGCTCACCACTGTAATCTCAGCACTTTGGGACGCTGATGTGGGTGGATCACTTGAATTCAGAAGTTTGAGACCAGCCTGGGCAACATTACGAGGCACTGCCTGAACTTAAAAAAAAAAACAGCCAGGCATGGAGGTGGGGAGCTGTGGTCTCAGCTACTTGGGAGGCTCAGGTGGGAGGATCACTTGAGCCTCAGAGTTCCAGGCTGCAGTGAGCTGTAATTGCACCATTGCACTTCAGCGTGGGTAACATAGTGAGACCCTGTCTAAAAAAAAGAAAAGAACTGGCCAGGAGCAGTTGCTCACACCTATAATCCTAGCACTTTGGGAGGCCAGGGTGGGCAGATCACGAGGTCAGTAGGTCGAGACCATCCTGGCTAACTCGGTGAAACCCCGTCTTTACTAAAAATACAAAAAATTAGGTGGACGTGGTGGCGGGCGCCTGTAGTCCCAGCTACTCGGGAGGTGGAGGCAGGAGAATGACATGAACCCGGGAGGCGGAGCTTGCAGTGAGCCGAGATTGCGCCACTGCACTCCAGCCTGGGCAACAGAGCAAGACTCAGTCTCAAAAAAAAAAAAAAAAAAAAAGAATGAATAAAACTGTGAAAGGAAATACAAATATTTAGGAACAGGTATTTCACTCAGTTTATAAATGAGTTCTTACATTTTAATGAAAATTCAAAAGAGATAACTCAAAATTAAAAAATAATGGAGTATAAAAGATAACAGAACATAAAAGATTTCATATTACTTTAAGGCATGGAATTTATTACCTTCATATTCAGACCTTCATCATTCGCCCATTTCTTGTTTTTCTTATTCAACTTTTATTTTAGGTTTAGAGGCTACATGTGCAGGATTGTTACATGGGTCAGATGTCATCATGGGGTTTGGTGTACAAATGATTTTATCACCCAGGTGGTGAACATAGTAACCAATAGGTAGTTTCTAGACCCTCACCCTATTTTCACCGTTCATCTTCAAGTATGACCAGTGTTTATTTACCTCTTTGTGTCTATGTGTACTCATCATTTATCCCGGCCCGCGGGATCGTCGAAGCAGGCCCTGGAGGAGGGAGTGGGAATTTGGGGAACAAGAGACACGAGAAATGGACACAAGACAGTGCTCTGATCAAGTCTCGTTTAATGGCAGTAATGCAGTGCCTTATATACACTTGGAGAGGAAGGGGTTGGGCCAAGGCGGAAATGATCTCATTTCAGAGGGCGCGGCCAGGCAGGTTTCGGTTTCAACGGTCGGTCGTCATGTTGCGCCTGCGCTAGGAAGTAACAATTTTGCTACGAAGTAACAATTTTCGCGCGCGCGGGAAAGATGGGTGAAGAAGAAGCAGGAAGAGTGCCATCTTGTGCGAGGTATTTAATACAGGGAAAAGACAAATCTGGGAAGGAGGTGAGAGGTGGAAATGAATAGCGCTCAGGCGTCTAATCGTCAATAATTACTCGCTATGGCTGGGGCGTGCAGCTCCGGACAGGTCCCCCTTTTTATTGTTTTATGACAAGAAAACGACCCCCCGGGGAACTGCGCCTGTCTTAGGTTGGGTCAACTCATCCCCACCTTCTAGGCCCGTCATGGGATAAGGCAGCAGCAAAGGCGGCCCTCCTGTCTTAGGCTCCGGTGGAGATAGTGTCCTCTTACCCGTCATTGACTGTCCAGTTCAGCACACAGGGGAGGTGGTCTTATTGAGGTAAATAAGACTCACCATTTTCAGTCATCTCAAGGCGATGATAATGGACCTGTATAGGTTTGGCCTGGAAGGCCTCGATTTGTTGTCTGATGAATGCCATAGGCTTATTAAGGATTATAGGCCCGAGAGTGAGGAAGAGTAGAAGAGTAAGTAAAGGACCAAGAAATGGCAGGAGATAGGGGAGAAGTCCATCGAGTCCCGTCCACAATGGATTGGCGGCCAGGCCCTTTCTGCGCTTTTCTAGTTCTTCTTGTAAAGTCTTTATCTTATCTCTGACAATTCCGGATTTGTTGGCGTAAAAACAGCACTTTTCATTTCCACGACTGGTCTGGCATTAAGTACGCTGTCTTGCCCGAGCAAGTCACCTGGGTGATTCTGTCTGACGGAGGTTCAGATATTTGTCCCCCTCTGCAGTCACAAGGCTGGCCGTATTGTTTTCGTAGTAATCCTCTTGCTTTACAAGGGTCACCAAAACCTGCATAGACTGTCACTATGTTATATAGAGCAATTATTCTCCAAAGGAATCTCATGTTAGGCTTCATTTCCTGAAAAGCAAAAAGGAAGAAACTTCTCAGGGAGATTTATCTTCCCTGGACTGACAATGGTTATGATTTATTTGTCTTACCAATCTTTCAGGCAGCCATCTGGCTGCATCATTCTTTTGTGAGAAGATGCATACTGAGCCTCTTCCCCAAATTAAAACTGGATCGGGGCCATGCCATGAATTATCAAGTGGATCTTTCCATTTTACCATTGCGAACTGTTTTTGAGATTCAGGATGCCAGAAACGGTCGGCAGCAGATTTTCCATGACTGTCCAAATTTAAAAAATTAAGGATAAACAGGGCATGATTGAGTATGTTTCTGGGGGTACCCTTCACGGGGTACCAGCTCCCCCCTTTTAATTTTGTGATAACAGTTTTTAATGACAGATGGGCTCTTTCTACTATACCTTGTCCTTGGGGATTG